ACAAATATTTTTTGAAATATTGGTTGATTTTTGCTCTGTTTTAATTTGGATTTCCTATTCTTTTTGTTACAGAATCATCTTAGCGACGTTGCTGATATAACTCCGCTGTTGCGCATCAGATTGGTAAGCGATAAATTAATGTTTTTATTGGGGTAATGGATGTGTGGAAATTTTATTAATTACTATATATTTATGCATATAGATCAATTTATTAAATGTATATGGATATACTGTATGTATAGCATTCCATATATCCATTGCCTTAAGATGAATAAGTAAAAACAGATTAGGATAAACTTAATCTTGGATACCTCTTTATTATATGGAATTTATTGTGCATTGTTAAATTTATAATGTCACGTTATATCCACTCAGTAAAAAGTTTTTCGTACATGAATATGTATAAATATCCATAAACATGTATAATCATATATGAAATATCCCCATGCGTGTTCATACGTCCCTCTCTCTTTTTTGTAAAATTATTTTTTAGTGTGATAGAAGTAATTAAAAATAATTAAAAGGATAATTTTTATACTATTTGTTTTGTAAAAAATCAAGTTTGAAAAGAAATGTAAAAAAATTTACTTATGCATAATTATATATAAAATTATGCATAATTGTGTTTGAGTAATTTTTTTTACATTTTTCCAAACTTTTTTTTTCTGAAACTGAAATGAACAATGCGAAAATTAATACTTTAATTATTTTTAATGTTTTTACATTACTATTATTATTTCTGTTATACTAAAAGTAATTTTATGAAAGAAAACGAGATGTATAAACATGTATAGACGTATTATAGAGACTTATACTAGTAATTATAAATACTGGCTGAAAATTTGCATAAAGATACATAACTTTATAATTTTATGAGATATTATAAGATAAAAATATTATACATAACAAAATTCTACTATTATTATATATAAAACAAAAAACTAAATTAACTTGTTTGAATTTTCAGTTTCATTTATTAAAATTCAACAACTTTTATTTACATATGTAGCAGATGCGAAATTAAAATTTTTTCGAGAACCTATTAAACCTATTAAACTATCCCTCCTATAGATATTGGATAATTGGCATGCTTCTGTCCTGTATTACAGAGACAAACCACATCTACTTTCGACGATACGATTTTATCGATAATATCAGAAAATATATGTAGTCACATAGTTCTCAAATGGATGTACTGGCGGTAGTGTACAGACGATTTCGACGGTAATAGGAAAAAGGCCGGCATGGCCTCTCTCAGGTTTTTCTTTGATGCAGGAATTAAGATATTTGGCGCTCCCCCCCCCCCCCCCCCCCCCC